GCAGCAAGCATTTTCAGTATGTAACGCCGCCTAGCCTCCTAACCTCCCTCTCTTGGTGGGTACTTATAGAATTATTGTGTGTTTTCTTCAAGACTGCCTTACTTGTGTATTACATCTCTTTCTTGTCAATGCAGATACGAGTGTGCTGTTCTTCGCACTTCAGAGCAAACAAGAAAACTTTATATCACCTGCTGTGGATTTTTTGGATTGATGTGCATTGTCAGCACTTGCTATTTCGTAGTAGGCCTAATTTCTATTCTGCTGCTGCTCTACAAATAAGGTAACCAATGAATTCTTTCAGGTTCTGTTTAACTACTCAAAGAAATATTTTCATATTTTAAATTATTACTGATTCAGGGACAACCCAGTGTGGAATCTCACCAAATTAAGGCGGACTGCTCAAACTACTTCAATACAGGTATTAAACATTTCACATCAGTTTTGCTCTGCATGCATTTCTTCTCAAAAGTATTAATTCTTTTACTTCTATTAAATCAGGTATCTACAGCCACATCTGCTGTGAGAGTAATGTTCACTGAATAGAGCAAGTTCGCTGCAACAAGACTGCGGTAATCTCTACGCAGTGAGGCTAAATAAGACAAGGAATATATTTGTAGCAGCAAAGTCGCAATGTAAGTACCTCATATTTCATTTCATCAACATAAATTCAATCTGAGTTTCTTTAATCACAAATTCTGTCTTTGCAGGGACAATCACCATTAATTCCTTCAATCACCAGCCAGCAAGAGAGATATTTATATTTCATAGTTCCTGTTTTCTTGTAGGTGATTCTTGAATATTTTGACCTGCGAATTCGATGTTGGTTTTATGATCTTTGCAATGCTTCAACAATTTGGCGGCTTCTGTTATTTATTTTTGGTTTGTATTAAAACAGCAGTGTAATTTTAACTTGACTTGTTTAACTAATTGATTATTCATCACCTTGTGTGACCGGCCGATACAAGCCACGCGAGGTCTGCGCTTAACGCCCGTCAAGTGAGAGGTACAGAGGGGCCTCTTAACCTCACACTTGCCAGGCGCTCAGCGCAGCCCGCGCGGTCGGCAGTATCGGATCGGCACTCCTAAAGGCGAGTGATTTCCCGTCACACGACAATGGAAAGCCATTGAAAATACGGCAGAAGTCATGCCTAAACGCGACGGACTTCCCTCGGTATATGGATGGGTTCCCATTCAAAGCACCGAGTAATTCCCCAGCGTACACGTGGGAAACCCATTGATTGTCCGTAGGAATTCCCTTCAAGTAGTGCACATATCCTACCCCCGGGGGGCGGTGAAAACCACCAAGTGCTGCAGATTCCCCTCCCGCCGGGGCGGCGAAAACCGCCAAATGAGTTGGTGGGAATACTCACAGGGAGCATAAAAACCACCAACTACTTAACTCCCACCAACGGCAGGATTTCCCACCAGAGAGTTGGTCGTCAAATTTACCAACCAACCGTTGGTAGGAAAATCGGCCTTTACAATTGACTAGTTTCGCTAGCAGCGCATAGTATCGGTAGATGCTACGGGACTTCCCCGCCCGAAGACATAGCATCCGTGGATGCGGTGCGGCATCCCCCCCCCCTTTCTCCCAAATCCTCCCGCGCCCCGCGCCGGCAAGGGATGCCCGTCTGAATCACAGCACATTGCGAGCAGATGGGTAGGCAGCCCAATCATACACACAAGATGGGCGGGGTGGCCTACCCACAGGCCACAGGTAGTCCCAAGCGCCAGCACTGCGCAGTCCTCCGTAGACGTCTGCACCGAGTTTACCTGTGAGTCGACCATCGTCATCGTAACCGGCGACCGTCCCGCCCCTAGCAGAGCACCCCGCGGACCGTACTCGGGTGTCCTGGCGCCGGCACCTCGCTCGAGCCGGCAGCCAGAACGACGGCGAGTCACACTGCTCCTCCACGGGCATGCCCACCCCGCCCTGCATCCTCTACGCTAGCCGCTACACCCGTGTTTGTGGTCGATGTGTGGCTGCTGCGCCCTGGACGGGGACGGGGTGCCTACCGACAGGGGCTGGTTGGAGCTTGGAGCCTTGGTTCGAACGGGAGAGAGCGTGGCCGAGGACGAACGGCACGGCGCCCGTCTAGGTCGGCGAGGCTATCTGCCGGCTGCGGTAGGCCTCGCGCGCCAGGCGCAGGACCTCGGCGCCCCGCCGAGTCCTCCAGGAGCTCGCCGGACCTCTGATCCCCGTGGTCGAGCTCGGCCTCGGCGACATCCTGGACCCCGGTCTGCCGCGGCCGTCGCCGCACCATACTCTACAGGGATCCGACAAGCGGCCGCCTCGCGCCTCGGGCGAGAGGGCCTCTGTGGTGCCGGCGAACTGCGCCGCGAAGATGGTCATGAGTATGTACCGTCAAAGTTCAGTATCCGGACTCGTTCATCCACA